CTCTCTCACACCTCTGGGTTTGCAGATTTTCAAACAAAACTCATCGCCTTGTTCGCCTCTCGGATTCCGAAGAGCTGATTAGTGGTTTTCTCGATTCGAAACCATACCTATTCGATTCGGTGGATTTTGGTTTTTTTGTTCTCTTGGGGAAGAAGTATAATCCCCGATTAGCAGATAAGGAAGGAGGAGGAGAATGTCCGATTCGAGTGTGATGATGATTCCGGTGGAGATAGCTGGAATTTTCGCGACGGCGATGACGAATTGGTGGGATGATGTTAACGAGTCAACTCAATGGCAAGATGGGATCTTCTTCGCTCTTTGTGGTGCTTATGCTCTAGTTTCCCTCATCGCTCTAGTATGATTCTCTCAAAAACAGATCCTTTTTTGTTTTGGGGGTTATGCGAATTGGGTTTTTTTTTTGATTTTGATGGTCTCTAGGTCAAAACTCTTGCGTGCTTGACCTGTATTTTCCTCTTCTGCTAAAAAGAACAATTTTCGTTGGTTTTATGTGGAAAAAAGTGGCTAACTTCGTTGATGAAACATCGTTTTCGTAGTTGGATTTGTTTGTTCTATACTGAGGAATTTCAGGGTTTTTACTTAGCCTTGTAGATTTGTGATGTGTTGCAATTTTGCAGGTTCAATTGGTAAGGATCCAAATGAGAGTGCCTGAATATGGTTGGACTACTCAGAAAGTGTTTCATCTTATGAACTTTGTAGTTAATGGAGGTGAATGATCTGTGTTTATCAGTTGACATTTTGTGGTTTTTTTTTCTGGCCACCTTTGAATTTATGTTTTATGGCTTTCTGTTTGTGTAGTTCGTGCTGTTCTGTTTGGATTTCATGCTCAAGTATTTCTCTTGCATCCTAAGGTGAGAATCTGCATAAGATTTCAATGAAGTTGGTCACATTTAATTGATTTGATAGAACTTATTGTTGTCAACTTTATTTTTATTTGTATGTCTAGTTGATTTTAAAAGCAAGGGCTTTTGAAGGATTCATCTTTTAACTATCCAAAGTTTCTGTGAGATTATGCAGGCTCTTTGCTTGATATTATTGGATCTTCCAGGCCTCCTCTTTTTCTCGGCATACACGCTGCTTGTGCTGTTCTGGGCGGAGATATATCACCAGGCAAGTAAAACACGTAAAAAGAAATTGTGATGTGCATTTACTCTCTTAAACACAAGCTCTGAATATTTGTGTTGTTGCCACTAATGAACAGGCAAGAAGCTTACCAACGGATAAGCTGCGGATAACCTATATTTCAGTCAATGTGGCTGTATATTTGGCTCAGGTTCATGTCTAATTCTTATTGTTATATGTATAATTTTCATTTTTGACATGTTGGGGTCGTTGCTGAGATCCATTAATATACATATAGATCTTCTGCAATTTTCAGTGTTTTGAAACTATAGATTATGCATGATTTCTACCTTGTCCTTACCTCATTAACTCTGTAGCCATTCTTTGCTGCAAAGAATCTGAGCGAACAATAGTCACTTTCCTAGACATTTTTGGTGAATCAAAAAGACTTAGTTTGACATACAATTGATGTCTCTATCAGATTGGTATCTGGGCATACATCTGGATAAATGATAACAGCACTGTGGAGTTAGTTGGAAAGATCTTTATGGCAGGTAGGTACTTTGTCTGGTCAAGCATGTTTGCTAAACCTGTTATTGCTCAATTTATGATAACTTTTTCTCTTATCTAGACTCTGTATTGACATTTTGGGATTTGTTTTCTTCTTCTAGTCGTGTCTTTCATCGCTGCGTTGGGCTTCTTGCTGTATGGAGGAAGGTATGTGTTTTTGTTATCTTGACAACTCTCTCATAGTTAAAATGTCTGGAAGCTCTTCAATGGCTTTACTGGGGCCGTCTTCCCTCATGTGTTTTTCTTTTGGTATGCTGTAGATTGTTTTTTATGCTAAGAAGGTTCCCAATTGAGTCAAAAGGAAGAAGGAAGAAGCTTCATGAGGTATTCATTGTGCTTGTGCATCTTTGTCTTAGTTCCATAGAATTTTGAACTTATACATTTTGTCCTTTGAATTCGTTTCTTTTCATCGATTGGCCTTTGTAATTGATATGGTTTTCGTTGCAGGTTGGATCCGTGACAGCCATATGCTTCACCTGCTTCCTCATAAGATGCATCGTGGTAAGCTCTTAGATAGAAACTAAACATGAAAATTTCCTATTCTCAGTTACAATCTAATGAGTTTTTTCTTTTTATGTTTTTGCAAATTTCAGGTGGCTGTATCAGCTTTTGACATGGATTTGACACTCGATGTTCTTGATCATCCGGTTCTGAACTTAATCTACTATATGGTAAGTAACTAACTAACTACACCACCTTCGTTAGTTCTATCTCTTAATCTCTGTTTCTGTTTCTTCACTAACTGGAGAAAACACCAAAACACAGGTGGTTGAAGTACTTCCATCGGCGCTTGTCCTCTTCATTCTCCGTAAGTTACCTCCAAAGAGAGTATCGGCTCAATACCATCCCATCCAGTAGAGGAGAACTTTGTCTGAACCATCAACACGGTGAGTCAAGAGAGTAAAGAAGAAAAAATGGGGCAGAAATCTAAGGTGAAGAAGAAGAAAATCGGTGTGGAATCTGCGTGAGTTTTTTGAATGCACGATCATATGATTTTACCAAGCTTTATAGTTTGTAGCCTTCTTTTGGTTGGTATGTGTTATTATTATGTCGGTTAAATTACTAAATGTTCTTCTGCTATGAAAATCTTGGTCAGGACAAAGAGGTTTTAACATTTGATGGGGAAATGTTTGATTGTTATGTTTGGTTGAAAATAACAAATGTTCTACTTTTGTCTTGTGTAAACTATTATCTCATTTTCATTATGATTCACTATATCCTCTTTTTTGTGTGTTTTGTTCTCCATCAATGTCTTTCCATAGAAAGTTAGAAACAAATCCCATTTTTTTGTGTACATAACCGAGAAATTAAGAAACCAACTACCAAAAAAGTTTTAAAAATCCGTTTGGCTTAGAAGTGACCATGGTTTAGTGGCTAATGAACCAACCTATTGTGACAACAAAAACTAGTTTTGGTTTTTTTTTTCAACGAAAAACAATAAATGAATTTGAACAAGGATGATAACAAAATAATTACTTATTTTAGATTCTGTTTGGTTTTATTATTATGAAAATGAAAAAATCAAAACAGATTGGTGTAACCAAAAGCGAACTTAACTAGTGCAGTACCCGCGTCCTGCGCGGGATAGTAATATTGAAAAAACTTTT